ATTAGGATGATGTTTGATATATTAGGATGATGTTTGATATATTAGGGTGATGTTTGATATATTAGGATGATATTTGATATATTAGGATGATGTTTGATATATTAGGATGATGTTTCATATATTAGGATGATGTTTGATATATTAGGATGATGTTTGATAGATTAGGATGATATTTTATATATTAGGATGATGTTTGATATATTAGGATGATGTCTGATATATTAGGATGATGTTTGATATATTAGGATGATGTTTGATATATTAGGATGATGTCTGATACATTAGGATGATATTTGATATATTAGGATGATGTGTGATAGATTAGGATGATATTTTATTTATTAGGATGATGTTTGATATATTAGGATGATGTTTGATATATTAGGATGATGTTTGATAGATTAGGATGATATTTTATTTATTAGGATGATGTTTGATATATTAGGATGATGTTTGATATATTAGGATGATGTTTGATATATTAGGATGATGTCTGATATATTAGGATGATGTTTGATATATTAGGATGATATGTCTGATATATTAGGATGATGTTTGATATATTAGGATGATGTCTGATATATTAGGATGATGTTTGATATATTAGGATGATGTTTTGATATATTAGGATGATGTTTGATATATTAGGATGATGTTTGATATATTAGGATGATGTTTTGATATATTAGGATGATGTCTGATGATGTTTGATATATTAGGATGATGTTTGATATATTAGGATGATGTCTGATATATTAGGATGATGTTTGATATATTAGGATGATGTTTGATATATTAGGATGATGTTTGATATATTAGAATGATGTCTGATATATTAGGATGATGTTTGATATATAAGGATGATGTCTGATATATTTGGATGATGTTTGATATATTAGGATGATATTTGATGATATTTGATATATTAGGATGATGTTTGATATATTAGGATGATGTTTGATATATTAGGATGATGTTTGATATATTAGGATGATGTTTGATATATTAGGATGATGTCTGATATATTAGGATGATGTTTGATATATTAGGATGATGTCTGATATATTAGGATTATGTTTGATATAATATTAGGATGATGTCTGATATATTATGATGATATATTAGGATGATCTGATATATTAGGATGATGTTTGATATATTAGGATGATGTTTGATATATTAGGATGATGTCTGATATATTAGGATGATGTTTCATATATTATGATGATATATTAGGATGATGTTTGATATATTAGGATGATGTTTCATATATTAGGATGATGTTTGATATATTAGGATGATGTTTCTTAGGATGATGTCTGATATATTAGGATGATGTTTGATATATTAGGATGATGTTTCATATATTAGGATGATGTTTCATATATTAGGATGATGTTTGATATATTAGGATGATGTTTGATATATATTAGGATGATGTTTGATATATTGGGATGATGTCTGATATATTAGGATGATGTCTGATATATTAGGATAATGTCTGATATATTAGGATGATGTTTGATATATTAGGATGATGTGATGTTTGATATATTAGGATGATGTCTGATATATTAGGATGATTTAATCTTAGGATGATTTGATATATTAGGATGATGTTTGATTTTAGGATATATTAGGATGATGTTTGATATATTAGGATGATGTCTGATATATTAGGGTTATGTTTGATATAATATTAGGATGATGTCTGATATATTAGGATGATGTTTGATATATTAGGATGATGTTTGATATATTAGGATGATATTATGATATATTAGGATGATGTTTGATATATTAGGATGATGTTTGATATATTAGGATGATGTTTGATATATTAGGATGATATTTGATATATTAGGATGATGTTTGATATATTAGGATGATGTTTGATATATTAGGATGATGTTTGATATATTAGGATGATGTTTGATATATTAGGATGATGTTTGATATATTAGGATGATGTTTGATATATATTAGGATGATGTTGATGATATATATATTAGGATGATGTTTGATATATTAGGATGATGTTTGATATATTAGGATGATGTCTGATATATTAGGATGATGTTTGATATATTAGGATGATGTTTGATATATTAGGATGATGTTTGATATATTAGAATGATGTCTGATATATTAGGATGATGTTTGATATATTAGGATGATGTCTGATATATTTGGATGATGTTTGATATATTAGGATGATGTTTGATATATTAGGATGATGTTTCATATATTAGGATGATATTTGATATATTAGGATGATGTTTGATATATTAGGATGATATTTGATATATTAGGATGATGTTTGATATATTAGGATGATGTCTGATATATTTGGATGATGTTTGATATATTAGGATGATGTTTGATATATTAGGATGATATCTGATATATTAGGATGATGTGATATATTAGGATGATGTTTGATATATTAGGATGATGTTTGATATATTAGGATTTTGGATTTTGGTCGTCACATAAAGTCTTAATAACAGGAAGGAGATACGAGCCTAACCCAGGTGACTGAGGGTGATGAAGGGGTCGGGAGACAGTCGGGCTTCTTACATGATAAAACTTCATTAACTATCACAAATTTATCAATACATGAGATAGTAGATAGGAGACTATTTCAATGAATATTTTAATAATCTTGGAAATAATTAGTTGATAGTTATAGGATTATTTTGAGGTTAATTTCAGTGTTTATACGAAATGTTGAAGATTTTAAACCAGACACAAAATTCCTTAAGGGTAACGAGATTAATTTATTGAGAAAAAAGTTATAACCAGTTAATGTGATAGTAGGATAATAGGGACAATTAAAATAGGTCAGATACAATTTCATAATGAATTAGAAAAGAACTAACAGGTTAGGTTAGGTTAGGTTAGGTTAGATTAGGTTAGGTTAGGTTAGGTTAGGTTAGGTTAGGTTAGGTTACTCTCGTCTTGTGTTTATAATATACAAGAAAGAGAAGCATCAGGTGAAGGGGCACGTATAAGGTGGAGGTATTTGGGTATAAGTGTATGAATGTGAGGTATAAGTATAGACTGTATAGGAGTCATATATACATATATGAAGTAACCCTTTGACCTCTGACTTTCTCTTTGACAACAACGACGAATGACCTCACATGACAACAATGGTGAATGTGCTAAGTGGTGCTGACGCCAGATGATTTAATCGGCTGAGAGAAACCTCTACCACTTATAGGATTAAACATACCAAACCTAACTTAACCTAACGCTAGCTTTATCTATCGTAACCTAACCTTATCTATCGTAACCTAAAATGACGCTAACCTAAGATGACGCTAACCTAAGATAACCTAACCTAACGCTAATTTAACGGTAACCTAACCTTACCTAATCTACTGTAACGTAACGCTAACATAAGAACATAAGATCATAAGAATGGAGGAAACTGCAGCGGGCCGATTGACCCATACTGGTCAGTCCCATTTGCACCCAACCCCTATTGCTCATACGTCCACCCAACCTGTGTTTGCAGCTATCCAGCGAATTCGAGTTAATGATGATGTTTGGTAACTTATTCCATTCATCCGCTACTCTATTTCCAAACCAATGTTTACCTATTTCTCCACTAAATCTAAATTTGTCTAATTTAAAACCATTGTTACGAGTTCGCTCCTGGTTGGATAGTTTGAGTACCTTTGTAATGTCCCCATTCTTTAGCCCTGACTTCCATTTATACACCTCTATCATATCGCCCCTCGCTCTACGTCTCTCGAGGGAGTGTAAATTAAAATGCTTTAGCCTGTCTCTATACTCAAGGTTCCTAATGCCCGGGATTAGTCTTGTCATTTTCCTCTGAATTCTTTCCAAGGATTTTATATCCATTCTGTAATACGGTGACCAGAAATAAACCTAACCTAACCTTACCTAACCTAACCTAACATGACCAAACGGCAACATTAGACACCCAACTTATTTCACTCGAAGATAAACCACCCTAACGCTAACCTAATCTAATTCGACCTAACTTACTCTAACCTAACCTAATCCCAGATAGTGTTAGAGTCGTTAATTTTAAGGTGAAATATGCTAGGGTTTCTTATCTACAGGTTAGGTTAGGTGAACTCTTAATTAGGTTAGGTTAGGTTAGTGTTAGGTTAGGTTCTTTAGTAATCGATATAATTTGGGGTGTCTAATCTTCAGGTTAGGTTAGGTTAGGTTAACGTTAGTGAGTTTAATAATCAGTTGGAATAAGCGACTAACTTAATGATGAAACATTTGTCTTAAGTCATCCTGCACAAGTCAAGTGAATGTCTGAATCTAAATCAGGACCTCTAGCTTGACCTTTGACCTTTTGACCCTGACCTTACCCTGTATGATATATGACCCCTGTGATGTTAACTTCGCGAGCTCGACTTTATGACCCTGACCTTGTGACCTTGACCTTATGATATATGACCCCTGCGATGTTAACCGTGTGAGCTTGACTATGACCTTGACCCTGTGACATTTGGCCCTCTGACCTTGACTTTATATGTCAATGTGATCTTGACTGTGTGATGTGTGACCTTATGACCCGTGACCTTGACCCTCTGACCTTGACCTTATGTGATGACCCTGTGATCTTAACCCGTGACCTGACCCTGTGAACATCTGTATAACTCATGAACATTTGGATAATTAATGAACACCATTATTACTCCTGAACACCTGGATAATTAATATACAGTAAACATCTGGATAACGTATGAACACCTGGTTAATGAGAGAGAGGAGGTAGAAGTAACAGCAGGTAACCACAACATACATAGTGTGGTTGGTGTAAAGGTCACTCACTGCCTCCACACAGCCAATCACACCACATTCTGCTATAACTGGTACTCCACACAATAGATTTCGCTGACATCAATGCTTAAAAAAATATGAGTAATGGTTGCGTCTTGAGGTGCAGGTTTTTTTTTTTTTTATAATCTCTTCGTAAGTCGGAAGAAAAAAAAAACTTGTGTACTCACCTAAAACATCTTCGAAATCATATTCCTCTGGATCACATCTTTCCTGTGGAGGGGAGAAGACATGAACATTATCAGTATGCACGGAAGTGTTGGTGGCTCACAGCAATAGGTGATGAGAAATGAATGACCGAAGTTAAGTAAAAAATGCCTTACACCGTTTCGCGCGTGAGAGTGGTGGGCGCCCGAGGCTGTGGAGGGCGGGAGGGAGTGGGAGAGAGGGAGGGAGGGATGCTGCCTGGCCGCCTCGCCCAGCTAGTGGGGACTGCGTGATGTTATTCAACGTTGTATCGAGTTCAATGATCCTAACGTGAAGTTTCTCCTCCCCTCTGTATGATGTATAATATAGTTATACTACATCTATACATCACCTGTTGCTGTTGATCAGTGATATAATCCACGTAATATTTATCTAAAGTCTTCTTTAAAACTTGAGTCTTTTATCTTACAATGATCAATATTTCGTGTTTTTGTCTCTGGTGATATTTTGTGTTTTATGTGTGTTAGTTTTATTAACCAGTTCCGGCTCTTGTTGGTTCTTTATGTTTGTTTCTTTACCTGGAAGTAGTGACGTTAGTAAAGCATGTTTGTTTAATACTGATATTATTATTATTATTATTATTATTATTATTATTATTATTATTATTATTATTATTATTATTATTATTATTATTATTATTATTATTATTATTATTATTATTATTATTATTGTTATTGTTATTGTTATTGTTGTTATTGTTATTGTTATTGTTATTGTTGTTGTTGTTATTGTTATTGTTATTGTTGTTTTTGTTGTTCTTGTTGTTAATGTTGTTGTAACTTCACCTATGTTGAAGTCTTAGGGGTTCAGGTTTGTGTTTGTGAACCATCTGGGGGATTCGGTTCAGGGGTTCAATGCTGGCACGATGCTGTTTACGGAACAGGTGTGTAAAGGTGGGTAAGAAAATTTATATTATCTGTGAACCTAATAAAATTCAGTAACATGGCAACTTGGAACTCATGAACTTAAAACAACAACAATAATAATAATAATAATAATAATAATAATAATAATAATAATAATAATAATAATAATAATAATAATAATAATAATAATAATAATAATAATAATAATAATAATAAAAGTAACATTAAAAATACTAATAAAATTAATACTAAAAAAATATCAATAATACAAACAATAATAATAACAAGGCGACACTTAAACAAGGTGTTAACTCTTCGACTTCTTTAACACCACGACCTTGACCTATCGATCTTTTAACCCATGAAACACAACAGCTGCTCGACACATCAATGTAAACACTGCAATTCTTCCCGTGCGTGAGTAACGGTGCGGATATAGACTCTTTAACAGGCAACAGAAAGAGAGAGGGACAAATGGCGCCGTTTACCTTACCCACACGGCCTAGTTCGTGTGGATAGTGATAATGAAAGTGGATTTAGAGAATTGGTGGTTGTGGGTATCCGGGCTACACCCACCATTGTCTAGTACTAATAGTGTATTTATCTTTAGTCGGGTTTTCGTATTGTTCAAATTTTCAGTAACTCATGAATCGTCTCTTGCTTAATATGTTGTCAGGGTGTCTAGTGTACAGGGCCGAGTGTACATGTGTTAGTGTACAAGGACTAGTGTAGAAGTGTTCGTGTAGAAGGACTAGTGTACAAGAGTTAGTGTACAAAGACTAGTGTATAAGTGTTAGTGTTCAAGAATTGAGTGTTCACATACGAGGCTAGATCTCTCCCAGCGAGTAATGACGTCACCAAGCAAGATCACGACATGGGGTCATAATGTCACATTGAGGTCACAGAATTACCAGGTATTGTTCTTCTTGTTGACCTGTGCAGTAATTGTAACCACGAGTGTACAAGGTTATTCACTCCTGGTATGTATACGTGGCTGGGATGGTGCACATGCATACATACGTACATACACTCCTCACACAAGTATACTCTTGTACAGATATATTCGTTTACATACACACAGCAATACATACATACGATATACAGTCATATACATATATATTTTAATATATATATATATATATATATATATATATATATATATATATATATATATATATATATATATATATATATATATATATATATATATATATATATATATATATATATATATATATATATATATATATATATATATATATATATATATATGTGTGTGTGTGTGTGTGTGTGTATTGGTGTGTGTGTGTTGGTGAGTGCTTGTGCATGTGTGTGGGTAGGTGAGTGTGCGTGTGTGTGACTGGATGCGTGAGAGTAAATTACACAGCCATTACTGAAACAATGGATCGACTCCCACCTCGTCTCCCTCATCAACCCTCAGGCCGCCCCCACCCACGACACACACACACACACACACACACACGAGTCCGTCCACAGTTTTGAAGAGAGAGTGCTGAAATTTGGTAGGGAGGTGCGGTTACTGTCAACTACTAAACGCCCTTCGTCTCTCCACCTGAACCACGTACCCGGAGATTCAGACTCGTGAACCTGAACCAGTAGACTCATACATAATTCTGCCAATAAATGCTTCGGACTCTAGAGTTTGAATCTCAGGGTTCGTGGTCCAGGGTTAGACTCGAACGGATTTTATTAATTGATTGTACACTATCTTATATCCCTCTTCCTCCACCTAGAGTACACAAGAACATAACATAAGAAAATAAGAAGTCTGCAATAGGCCGGTTG